GTAGTGAGAAACATAACTGCAACAATCACAGAAGGCAATATGGAATGTTATATCGAAAAAAGAAGTATTCTACGAACGCTTGTAAATAAACTTCCACCACATCTACTAACCCAATGGGGTAGTTACTTAATTGAAAAGAAGATTGCAAGTTGTAAAGAGACATTAGAACAGTTTTCATTCTGGGTTCAACAAATGTCCGATACAGTTTCTAGAATAACATTTATTTCAAATGTGAATACTGAAAGCACTTTCTTAACTCTTCCAGTAAAATATAATAGTAACGAAAATAGATGGGTCACTAATTCGCAAAATCCAGGGCCGAGTAAAATTTGCAAAATTTGTAAGAAAAATCAACATTCAGTAGAAAAATTTAGCAAATTCCAAGAGTTTGATATTCAACAAAGATGGAAATTCGTAAAAAATAACAATATGTGTTATTGCTGCTTAAACAGACACAATGGAAAATGTAGAAAAAGAAAAATATGTGGCATTAACAATTGCGATCGTTTCCATCATAATTTACTGCACAAAAATATTACTCAAATAGCAAATACAAACGAATTAAATACATGCGTTAAAGTAGTAGAAGGTAAAACACTACTGAAAGTATTACCAATAAAAATAAAAGGTCCCAATAAAGTAATCAAGATAACCGCATTACTAGATGAAGGAAGCACTACGACATTAATTGATTCGGAAATTGCTGCAGAATTAGGTTTAACTGGCCCAATTTCACCTTTATGTTGCAAATGGACTGGTGAAATATTCAGACATGATCAAGATTCCCAGATTGTACAGGCAAAAGTAGCAAATAAAAACTCTCCTACTTTTCATAAACTTCAAAATATTAGAACTGTCAGTGAATTAAATTTACCATGGCAACGATATGACTTAAAGCACCTGTTGCTAAGATTCCCCTTTATACAAAATGTAGATGTGGATCTAGAAGATAGAGCCCAACCCACTTTACTAATAGGCCAGAATAACGCACATCTTATTATTTCGCGGCAGACTATTCAACCGTTTTTAAATGGACCTATTCTATCCAAAACAACAATCGGCTGGACATTACATGGGTACGTAGGATCAACAAGCAATGATCAAATTGGCTACCAGAAAGAAGAAGTAGTTGTGGTATGCTGCGAACCATGTGATGAAAAACTTCATGGTATAGTAACATCATATATGAAGCTCGAAAGTTTTGGTGTAGTACAAACCAAACGAAACTTTACGCATTCCAAAGAAGAAGAAAGAGCCTTGGCTATTGCTGAAAATTCCATAAAACTTGTGAATGGCCAATTTGAGGTTAAACTTCCATGGAAACAAAATGATCATCAACTGCCAGAATCAAAAAAGATTGCAATGCAAAGATTTTTTTGTCTAGAAAGACGATTGGCAAAAGATTCTCAATTAAGTAAACATTACATAGCAGAAATCCAAAAAATATTAGAGAAAAATTATGCTACCCCAGTCAGTCAAAAAGAACTTGAAAAAGTGAAAAGAATTTGGTATTTACCGCATTTTCCAGTGATAAATCCAAATAAACCAGGAAAAGTAAGAGTTGTGTTTGATGCAGCAGCAAAGAGTCACGGTTGTTCATTAAATGACTTTATATTAACGGGTCCTGATATGCTCTCACCACTATTCGGAGTTCTAATAAGATTTCGCATCCATAAAATAGCCTTTGCGGGGGATATAAAGGAGATGTTTAACAGAGTTAATATCTATTATGAAGACACCTTCACGCAATGTTTCTTGTGGCGCAATTTAGCTAAAAATGCTCCTTTAAACACTTACAGAATGAAAGCTATGCTGTTCGGTACCACTTCATCACCTTTTCTAGCTCAATTTGTTAAAAACTACAATGCTAGACAGTTTGAAGATCAATACCCAAAAGCAGTAGATGCCATTATTAATAATCATTATGTAGGTGACTGGCTTGATGGCGCAAATTCTGAAGAAGCAGCAATAATACTTATAAATAACGTTATAAATATTCACGCCAAGGGAGGTTTTGAAATTAGAAATTTTATTGCCAATTCACAAGAAGTTTTAAAAGATATTCCAAAAAATCTGTTAAATGAGAAGGTCAATACAGAAGTGAACAAAAAAACCAACGAGGAACGTGTTCTTGGCATGATCTGGGATTCAAAAAAAGACAGTTTTAATTTCAATCTTAAATTAAATAAAGTTCCTAGAAATATTTTGGATGGATCGTCAGTTCCTACAAAGAGGCAAGTTTTAAAAACAGCAATGTCCGTTTATGATCCACTAGGTTTATTGTCTCCAATTAGTATTAAAGTCAGAATACTTCTACAAACCATATGGCGTAGCGCAGTTGGTTGGGACGACGGAATTACTGATAAAATGTTTCAAAAATGGGCAATCTGGCTACGAGATTTGAAAAAGGCAATGGAAATTGAAATCCCTAGATGTTATTGTCTTCGATTATTAGACGATGCTTCTTTCATTGAGCTACACACATTTGTAGATGCTAGTGAAGAAGCTTATTCTTCAGCGAGTTATCTTCGTATGGTATATGACAATTACATGCAAGTAACTTTAGTTGCTTCCAAAGCCAGAGTTGCTCCTCTTAAAACACTCACAATTCCAAAATTAGAACTACTTGCTGCAGTTATGGGGGCACGTTTATCGCAGACAGTTATACAAAACCTGAAGTTAAATGTTAAAAGGAAATATTTTTGGTCTGATTCCAAAACCGTTTTGAGATGGCTTTATAATGACAAAAAACTTCAGACATTTGTAGCAACTCGCGTAGGAGAAATTTTGGAAACAACGACTGCTGATGAATGGAAATGGGTACCTTCAGAAATCAATGTAGCAGATGCATGCACAAGAAGTACCTCAAGGAGCACTATAAATGATTGCTGGCTAAATGGTCCCAAGTTTCTTTACGAAAAAGAAGATAGTTGGCCACAATTTTCACAAGATGTAGACATAAGTAAAGAAGAAATTTTAATGGAATCCGTAGAAGTAAAAATTGTATGTATTTCAGACGCTCTTCCCATAATTAAAAACCATTATAGTTGGATAAAATTACTACGTATAACTGCTAGAATTAAACAAGTACTAGATATCCTAAAAAAAGTTCCTATAAATGAAAAATCTCCATTCCTTCCTTGTGAATCCCTTAAATGGGCTGAGACTAAGTGGTGGAAACTAGTACAATGTACTTGTTTTAAGATTGACTTACAGAATCTCCACAAAAATAATCAAAATACAACTGGTAGACTTAGAAAACAGTGCATTTATCTTGACAAAGACGATATAATTAGGATTTCAAGTAGAACAAGTAAAATAAACACGACAACGTCCATAATATCTGTGGATCCTGTAGTTCTTGATGGTTCTCACCCATATACGCAGAAGATGATATTACATGTGCACGCAAAAAATGCTCATCAAGGTATTGAGACCATCATTAATAATCTGCGAAGAAACTTCTACATCCCTAGAGTAAGATCAGTTGTTAAGAAGACTGTAATGCTTTGTCAAATATGTAGACGCCGAGAGGCAAAACAAATGCAACCAAAAATGGGATCGTTGCCCAAAGAAAGACTTTTCTGTTTTAAGAAACCTTTCTGGGCTACGGGAATAGATTACTTTGGACCATTTCAAGTAAAAGTTGATAGAAGATTGGAAAAACGGTATGGCGTTTTATTCACTTGTTTGACGATGCGAGCCATTCATGTAGAAATAGCCCATTCCCTTAGTACAGACTCCTGCATAATGGCTATACGCAGATTTTTAGCAAGAAGGGGCGCAGTAAATGTGATAATGTCCGATAATGGAACCAACTTCAAAGGTGCAAAACTACTTGAAGCTTTAGACGAACTTCAACTGGAGAAAGTAGCTGAGGATGTAACAAGCAGAGGTATTTCCTGGAAATTTAACTCTCCAATTTCTCCATGGAAAGGAGGAAGCTGGGAGCGTCTAATTGGCTGCTTCAAGAGAGCTCTTTCGGCGATTATGAGTGACAGACATCCTACAGACGAAGTTCTCCAAACTTTGTTCGCTGAATGTGAATATATAATAAATAGTCGTCCTTTAACACACGTGTCTGATGATCCAAATGACAAAATTAGCATTAGTCCAAATGATATCTTAATTCTGGACTCTGAGAAAATATTAACTTCACCAGGTTTTTTTTCCAAAGAAGATTCATTTACAAAAAAACAGTGGAGAGTAGCTCAATATTTAATAGATATATTTTGGAAACGTTGGTTAAAAGAGTATTTAGCTACACAAATTACCAGAAGCAAATGGAATGACGAAGATAAAAACTTGAGAGAAGGAGATGTAGTCATAATAAATGAAAATGATTTTCCCAGAGGGCAGTGGCCACTTGGAGTAATAACCAAAACCTACAAGGCAGAAGATAATGTTGTACGTGTAGTCGATGTTAGGACTGCTCACGGAGTTTATAGACGACCTGCCAGAAAAATTTTTAAATTTAATACTTGTGTTGATAAAAGTGATATCAACACCGGGGGGACTATGTTCAAAAATATTAATATGCCCTGTATATATATTTATTACATACTATGATTTGATATAATAATTTTTTGAATAGTTGTCAGTTTTTGAATAAATAGCGTCAAAAGGATAAAATAATTTTTTTGTTAAAAACATTGATGTTAATACCAAATAATTAACAACAATAAAACACAAAACGACTAAACTAAAAAATGTTTTACATAAAACATTTACTAGAAGAACAAAATAAACAACACAACAGATAATAAAATCGATTATAAACATTAAACATCGATCAAAAGGTTATTACTAAATTTGCACCAATTCTGTCTTGTCATTAGAGTCAACTTAAAATTTACTGATTGATCATGGCTCCCATCATATTGAGGGTAATAATTGTTTCACGATGCGGTATCTAGACTTTCTGAGAGCTGTGATTACATCATGTTGATATAGTGTACAATCAAGTTATTAATGAAAACTAACTAATTTTGTTTTTTCAGGCATAGCTGTGTGTAAAGGAGACAGTGGTGGGGGCTTGGTGTTCCCACAGTTCGGGAGATATTATATTCATGGAATAGTCAGTGTCGGTCAACGTAACGGCATTGATGGCTGTAATGTAGAATTAAGTTCGCTGTATACGAAAATTGCCGCTCACTACGATTGGTTGGAAGAAGTCACGTCTCGATATAAATAACTTTAATTGTACACCTGAACTGGAATAAAATATTTTTCTACTTTTTAAATTTATTTTCTAGTTTATTACCAAATCCCCTTTTCCAATTCCGATAAATAACTATCCACGACACACCTGATATGTCCAGTCGCTTAAACCTTATATCCCAAGACACTCCTCGCGTCTTCTGATACTGTTATAATAGTTGCATTAATTTTAAATGACGTACTCATTTGATAATCGATTCTATTACTGTTTTCAATGTTGTCTCGTAATTATACATTATGAAAACACGAGGGTGGATCACTATGCTGCACCCCTGACTCCCTTATAGCAAACCTACAGTAGCAATATATTTTTCATTATTCGACATAGTCTCCCTCTACACTAATGCACTTGATCCATCAGTACTCTATCATCTCAACAGCCTACTGGAAAAAAAATTGTCCGATCTCTGCAAACCACATCTCTAGAGCTTGCATCAATTCATGATTAACGGAAAAGTTTTTCCTACGTTTTATTTTAATTTGGGGAACAGCATATAATCATTGAGAGCGAGATCTTTCGAATATGGTGGGTGCTCCACTAATTCAGAGCCTGTTTGGTGTATAGCAGCCATGGCAATGCAAGATGTATGTCTGAAAGCATTATCCTAATGAAACAACATACTGTTTCTTAACTTTCTTTGGCGTTTTTCTTTAAGAGCGTCTCGCAATTAAGAAATCAATTTTGCGTAATAGGCTCCTGTAATGCTTTGTTCCTTTTGCAAATAGTCAGTCATGATGATTCCTTGAGCATCCCAGAACAGCAAAACTTTTCCAGCAGACTTTGAATTTGCGTGATGGAGGAGAACGGAGAACCGCGATGTTTCCACTCGCTTTACCTTGCGCTTTTATCTCGGGATCATACTGGTGCACCCATGACTGGTCTATGGTAACATACTGACTAAGAAAGTTCTCTTTGTTTGCTTGGTACCTTTCCAAAACTTGCACACAAGTCAACACCCGATTTCTTTTTTATTCAATGATTAACATTCGAGGCACCTATCTTGCAGTCATCTTTTTCATAAGAAGTTTAAATTGTAATATGGATCATTTTGAAGCATACCTACAATTATTTAAACAATCTTTCGATATTTTGATTTTAACTGAAACTTGGAACAAATTTGATATAAACTTGTATGCTAAAGAAGGTTACAATATGATTTACAATAATGCTGATTTTAATAAATCGGATGGCACTATTGTCTATTTAAAAGAATCTATTATGTACAATTTTGAAATAAAACAAATTGATCAGAGTACGGTAATAGTTATTGAAGTTATCAATGATAAGTATAAAATGCTAATCTTATGCATTTATAGATCTCCATCCACAAATGAAGAAAATTTTGTTAGGGAACTGTACGACTTTTTAGAAACATCAAACGATAATTACGACTTAAATATCCTTATAGGCGATATAAACATTAATATTTTTTCACAAGACAGAGTAACAACGGAATACTTAAATATGTTGAGTGAATATGGTTTTACTTCAACGATAAATAAATATACAAGGGTGCCATCCAAAACATGTATAGATAATGCATTTGTAAAGGTCAAAAATCGAAATTTAGAAGAAATCTGTGAAGCTTACGTTTTAGACAGTAATATCAATGACCATCGCAGTTGTATACTAAAGTTTTTGATGCCATTAACTTCAAACACGAAAACAAAAAATGATAATTATAGAGATGTGATTAATTACACAAATTTAAAAAATAATTTAATACATTTTAATTGGGCCGGATTGTATTGTATAACTGAAGTTCAACAAGCATGGGATTATTTTCTTACTCATATAACAGATCTCCTAAAAACACATACAACTCGATTAAAGATAAACAAAAAAACAAATAAGAAAAAAAATTGGATTACTTCGGGAATAATAACTTCAATCCTACATAGAGATAAACTCTACAAAACCTATCAAAAAAATAAAGATGAACAATCCAAACAAACATTTATTAATTATAAAAATAAATTAGGTACAATAATTAAAAAATCAAAAATAGAATTTCACAAAAAAATGATAAAAGATAATAAAGATAATCCCAGTAATTTATGGAAAACTATAAACAAAATATGTGGCAAAAACCCCAAAAAACAAGAATTTAAAGCATTATATAATCAAAATATTGAAAAAACCAGTGATAAATCTGAAATAGCAGAAATATTTAATACGTTTTTTTCCAATGTAGGAATTAATTTAGCTAGTCAAATAATCTTGCCAAATACGCTTCGTCCAATGAGATTTGTATGTTCAAATTCAATATTCTTGAATCCTTCAAATGAAAAGGAAATATTAGAAATAATTAAAAAATTAAAAAATAAAAAAGCACCAGGTATTGACGACCTAACCGCAGAAACAATTAAACAAATTGATTCGGAAATAGTATCCCCGCTAACTTACTTAATTAACCTAAAAACGGTGACAAATGCACACCATCAAATTATAGACCCATATCGATAACTACGACCTTTACAAAAATATTTGAAAAAATAATTAAGTCACGATTAGAATCATTTTTTGATAAAAACAATACAATTTCATCGAAACAATTTGGATTTCAAAAAAGTAAATCTACGGAGGATGCTATTGCCGAACTAACGAAAGAAATGTATTTAGCTCTGGATAAAAGTAAACCATCTCTGGCAGTGTTTCTGGATCTTGCAAAGGCTTTCGACACTGTTGATCACTAACAGTTATTGGGAGCCCTGCAAGATGCAGGAATAAGAGGCAATGCTTACAATTTGTTTAAAAGTTATTTGTTTAATAAACAACAAAGTGTAAGAATAGATAATACGAATAGCACTTACCAACAAATAAAATGCGGTGTACCACAAGGTACAGTACTTGGTCTTATTTTATTTAATTTATATATCAATAACTTACTATTCATAAATCATCAGGGTCGGATAATTAGTTTTGCTGATGACACGGTTATTTTCTATTCTGCTGATAGTTGGGAAGAATTAAAAGTAATTGTTGAAAATGATTTAAAATACATATTCGACTGGTTTAATCATAAACTCTTAACAATTAATTTCTCTAAAACATTCTTTTTACCAATAGTTAGCTATGAAAATAATCTACCGGAATATAACAACTTAGTAATCATCAGCAATAATCAGGTGCCTTTAACTATAAGTTCATCAAATAAAACGAAATATTTAGGAATAATTATTGATAGTCATTTGCGTTGGAATCATAATATAAATAACATTGTAAATATACTAAGAACCCTATTATTTAAGTTTAAATATCTTTCCAAAATACTAGAATTACCTTACCTAAAAATGTTGTACTACGCTTTAGTTCATTCTAGAATAACGTATGGAATATTAGGATGGGGTGGAGCCTCAAATGTGTATATGGACAAAGTCGAAGTAATACAAAAATATTTTTTAAAAATTAGATTAAAAAAAGAACGCACATACCCATCTGACCAATTATATAAAGAAGCAGAAATACTTGATCCTAAACAAAACTTTTTCTTTAAAATAGCAAACTATTATTTTAAAAATCAGAGTCTTCTTAAAAATGTAACACATAAATATGAAACAAGATCCAAGGCAATGAATAAATTAGAAGAATCAGCAGCCCGTAAAACAGTAGGACAAAAAAGCCATTTGTTTTTAGCACCCAAGGTTTTAAATTCACTACCCATAAAAATTAAAAATTCTCTGTCGATATCTCAGTTTAAGACAAGACTAAAAAAACATATACTCTCCATGAATAGAATAAAAATAATCGAATTAACGTATTAACCAGTAACTAAAAATCAACTATAAAGTAGGTACCTACAAATAAAAAATTTATTTTTTTCTAAAGTATATTTTTTTATTTTTTTGTAATAACAATAAAAATAATTTTTATTATTCATTATTATCATCAATATTATTATTATTAAATATAATTTTTAAGGTTATTATTATTATTATTATTATTATTATTATTATTTATTATTATTATTATTATTATTATTATTATTATTATTATTATTATTATTAATTTTATTATTGTTATTATCATCAATATTATTATTAAATATTGTTGCTGTCATTATGATTGTTATTATTATTATTGTATTTTTTATTAACATTAATCTCGATAATTTAATTATAAAATTATACTTTATAGTACAGTCTCTGACTTTGTGGACATTTACTGTTTGTTTGTATTTTATATGTATTTTTTCTTGATTATTGTGTGTACATTTTTACAAATAAACAAATTATTATTATTATTATATCTAATTCTATATTCAGTATGTAATGCACAATATTATATGATAAGCCAGTAGCTTCCACAATATTGTCACAAATTTCAATTAATAAATTTTTCCAAATTCTACATATATTTTTATATATTCATATTTAATAATTAATTAATTCATAATAGGACAATTACGTTTATTTTAAATTCCAGTAATATAATAATTTTGTAACAAAATACTAAACAATTCTCAATTTTTATAAGATATTTCCTTTCATGTTTAACAATAACAAAATTTGCTATTTTGTTGATTTCACAAACTGTCGAAACTACAAATCAAATATCGTTAGTTGTATTAACTTGTTGAATATGCAAAATCAGCAAATGAGTCTTGCAGGTAAACAAACAGGAGGCAGTCAGGAAAGTCCTGAGACCAGAGCAACATATAAAAAGCTCCGCCAATTTTTACTTAAAATGAAATAAACTAAAAAAGAATGTGTGGACGTGCCCCAAACAAATAATGCGGTAAGCATAAACATTTTTGTATGTGTGGGATCTTTTAAATGTTAATAATAATACTTTTCGTAATAATTGTATCCCATCAATAAATAAAAATGTACTCATAAAAGTATAATTTTGTATAATAAAACTCGATGTCATGTATATAAATTATCAATTATATAAATTATATAATTATAAATAAACAATTCTTGTTTCCCTCCCGATGAGTTCAACCTTTTGTCTTGCTAGAACTGCCACGAAAGGTTGTCTAAATGATGACAACAATTTAATTCGTATGACGTAATAAAAATGA